CGATGTTTACAGTGAGAACAGCTGTGAGGTCCGTGCAGAAAGCAGAGCAGTGTGTAAAATATATATCACTCAGTATAACAGGCCTACTCTCTTTATTTGCTTTAGTTTAGTAGATATCTACAAACAAAGAGTCGATATTTTTCTAAGACCATTTAGTGCTTCACATAATAAAATACACAACGGCTGTAGCCTGATTATGCTTTAGGAGCTGTAGGCGTGTGTGGTACAGTGTGTACTGTAGGTGTGTGTGTGGTACAGTGTGCAGGTGTGTGTTGTACAGTGCGTAGATGCGGCGGACAGACGGGTCTCAGTTGGTTTGGTGTCCGATGCTTACTTTCAATACTTGTACAACTTTTGGCCCGTAATTTCAATTCCCCATTTCAGCGACCAGAGAGAGGGGGGGGGGGGGATATATCCAGTCTCTGATTGTGTTACGTTATTATTATGAGAGTGCTCTCACTTGTTTGATTCTGAAATTGTATATATTTATATAAATATGTGTGTGTGTGTATATGTCCGCATCTGTAGCCTGTTATTGTCTCATTATACCGCACTGTGAATGAATCAAAGTAAATATATATAAATGGCCATGAACACATCTGTCCATCAGACAGAGTGCTGCTGTCCCTCCTGTCATCATTAATGGACGTCTCTTTAAAATGACCGCTCAGAGGAGAGGAGTTCTCATTTCTCTAACCGCCTGCTGCTTCCACTCCTCTCTCCTCGGTTCCCCTCCTCAGTCCTCCGCTCGCATCTCCTGTGGGCGGCACCAGGTCTCGAGGAGAGGAGTCGAGGATAGGAGTCGAGGAGGGGAAATTTGAGTATTGAGAAACCTCTATTGTATATGATAGGCTAAGGGGAGTGACATCTCTAAGTGGTGGACCAATCACAACAGAGCCGGCCAGCCAACCAATCAGAGACAAAGCAGACTGGGCTCTGTTTTCAGACAGAGGGGGAAAAGAGTTGCTGCAGCACAGGCAGTATGAAAAAAATAAAGATGTTTTTTAACATTAAAGCATGGAGACATGTCACAGTAGAGAGCAGAAGCACAAAATACAAATATGAACCTGGTATTATAGGACCCCTTTAAGGACATGATTATTTTTTCTCTCTTGTTTTTTAATTTATATTTTATGCATCATCTCAATTAATGTGACACACACCACATATGCAACATGGCACCTGCACAATCAACTTACATGATGATGAGTGAGATAAGAAAGTAGAAGATTTCACTCCTGATGACATTTTGGTAGATCCAAACCACCCATTGAGAACTAGAGGTCTCCTCCAGATATACCATCCAAACTTCGACCACATTGAAGGTGCTGTTGAGTCCCCGGAAAGGACCACAATGCTCTGAGGGGGTCAGACTACAGAGCAAGACAAGGTAGACAAAACCAATCAACACTTTTAGGGGGGTTTGTGTACCAAGGCTATGTTATAGTTTTGTTATCATTTTGTTGTTGTACAATGATATTCTTTGACTCCAGGCTGTAGGTCATGTCCTCTTACCTCCAGGCGGTGAACGCAACCATAGAGACAGCTCCCACGAAGAAAGGGAAGAAGAGCAGGGCGATGAAGATGGTTTGCATCTGAGCGGCTCTGCCTGACCGCCTCGGAGGCTGGCAGTTCTGGGTCAGGCTGACCTGGGGAAGTGGTAACAAAACACTCATACACATGAACAAATACATGGCACACAAAAACACTTTTTCCCTCATTATTATTGCACTACCATAATGATGTTTTCTAAGTTTACGAAACCAGCCTGCACATCGTATCTGTTTCACTCCATAATAGAGAACATGAAGAACTCATCAGAGCTTTGAATAGTATTGCTTCAAGGGTCATTCAGCATGTTCATGAAACATTCAAGAACACCAGATCCATCCTGAGTCAAATTACCAATCGTTCTGGATTAAATTACTCTGACATTGATTGATCTTGCCTGGAACATTGCAACCAACTTGTTTACTTCACATATCCCAATACCTAAGTCCTTTCCAAAACACAGAATAAAGCATGCTGTCAGTGTGATGAAAGGATTTGAATCAAATATTGAACCAGCTGCACAAATAGCGTAACCTGAGCGCAAAACATTAAAAAGAGCAACTAGGGCAGCGGTGGCCTTGTATCTCCCTGTGGCTGTTTGTCCTCATAGCAGTTCAGTTTACAATCACCAAGGCTATTAATTAAGTGTCATTTACCTTCTTTAAGTAAAACAAAATGAAAAATTTGAGGATCTGGATGGCAGGCAGCAGAGGAGAAAAGTAAATACCAATCCTATGGGGGGAAAAATTCACAGTTAGCTAACTATGTATAGTAAATGAGCATTGACACCAGGAGAAAAACACAAATCTTGATTTTAAATTCATTGAGTTGTTAGGTCCTGTGGTAAGCAGAGATATGGACTTTGTGAATCAAAAATTAGACTTCAATATCGACTCGACAAAAATCAAGACTTGTAACTTGACTTTGATTTCAACACCAACATTTGGCTTAATTTTTGTCTTTTTACTCTAGAATACTATTAAAGGTGGGGTAGGTAAGTTTGAGAAACCGGCTCGAGATACACTTTTTGTTATATTCCACGGAATGCTCTTAACATGCCGATAGCAATGAATATCTTAAGTGCTTTGACAAAAAGTCCATACAAAAATGTCATCTGTGGAAGCCGTAGTACTGTAAAAAGCACGACCAATCATCTGAGCCGGCCCGGCTAAAATAACTGGATGGCCTACCTGCCTGTCAGCCTTCCATCTGTGCCCAAACTTATCTCGTGCCCTCATTGGTCATGTGCGCTTTCGTGTGTGTTGGAGGAGGGGCTCTGTAAGGAAGTAGCAGATTTCTTCCGGCTGTGTATTTTCAAATTCTAGCGCACTCGAGCTGGTTTCTCCAAAATTACCTATCCACCTTTAATTTAGTTTGAGCAAATAAATACACATTTTAAATGCATTCACAAACTTTGTATATTTCATATATTATTTACTCTCTTAATAAAGCACAACTGGGAAAGTACAAATTGTGTCTCAAAACTCAAAGTTTAGGACTCAGGACTTCAGTGCAAAGACTTGAAGACTTGACTTGAAATGCAAAACTATGACTTGGTCCCGACTCTGGTAGTTGGTAAGTGTTGAATGTATTGCTCTTACCAGGCCAGAGTCTGTGCGTAGATCAGTTCAAGGACATTTCTGGCTACGTCAAACTCTGGAACCCCCAGACGTGGGAGTAATCTGGTCCCAATCACACTGTTGAGGAGAAATTAGACATATGATTTACATGTGAGGTTAACCAACCCCATTTATTTGATTGTGAAGAAGACAAACAAACAGAAAGCCACTCACTTGCTAAGAAACTCTCCAAAGAAGGATCCCAACATTAGAAAAAGGAAATCAACAATGACCAGTCGGTACAAAGCCTGTCCTACCATGGACTCCCAACACTGTGGAAAAACATTAGGTTCATGAATGACTGTCTTTAGCGATGGAAACTGGTACAACACAATTTTGGGTTGAACCCTGTCAAACATACCGAAAACTTTACAGCCACCACATTCATCCAGTTATAACACAAGACAGCCAGAATGGACATCTTGAGTAACACATTTCTGTAAGTGGGAAAAGAGAAACAAATATTTTATTCAAGATTGATGCTTGAACATTTTGGGACTTATGCTAATGTGCTTTCTTTCAGAGAAAGATTGATACAACTGCCCCATGCATACGGTAAATATGAAGCTGCAGAGTCAGCGGCCAGTAAGCTTATTTTAGCTTATATTAGCTAAGCTAAGCATAAGGACTGAAAAAAAAACAACAAGCTTTGGTTCTCCCCCTATATATTCTTTATGCTAAGCTAAGCTAATCAACTGCTGACTCCATCTTTGCATTGAACGGATAAATATGTCAAGAGTGGTACCATTCTTCAAGTCTAATTCTGGGCAAGAAAGCAAAAAAGTGTATTCCGCAACAATTATTTCTACTACTACTTAAAATTCTCAATTTTATGCACTTTAAATTCATTTGTCTCTGCTGTCTGACCTGACTACCAGTGCGTAGATCTGTTTGCGCTGGCTGGAGTAGTGCTCAAACTTGTTGAAGAGGGAGTAGAAGAGCGGGACGACCAGGTTCATCAGAGACACCACAAAGGGAACCAGCAGAGTTTCTGCCTCCTGCAGCAGAGACCAGTTGGCAGAATCTGTTGCCCGCTATAAAGATAACAGATGGATAAGGGGTTAGGTCAGCTCAACATAGTGCTAGACGGACAACACTGTGTGCAAAGAAATGAATCAAACCCTGCACTGCCAGTAAATAACTCGACATATAACTGTATAAGTTGCAATCTTATGACGCATGCTGATACTGAATTTAAATTACCATGCCATAAAGTACGATGAAACGCATTTTCTCAGAGCATGCAGACAAAGGGATCAGTAAGAATATTTTTCTGTTAATACTGGTTTAATGGAACAATAAGACTCATACAGACGATGAAACCTTTATGTAGTCTAAATCAAACAAAGAATACTTATTCCAATTTAACAATAAAACTTAGTTTCAGTTTAGTTTTGTGTACCTGCTGTTCGAATTGGCAGAGATAATAGATGCTAGCTCCAGTGCCGACAGCCAGGCTAGTGGAGAGCAGCCAGGCACCCAGATAAACCCCAAAGTGCTTCAGACTTTCAGAGAGGGTAAGGCGCTCCCTCTGGGCCTTCTCTGACATGGACTCCTGAAAAAATTACGAGGTGCATGTTGTGTTTTAAAACAGTAATTAACCTTTGAGATAACTAATGGTCTGAAGTTTGTTGAATGCTTATTGTGAAAAAATCTTTAAAAGCTTAGATTGGCAATAAATTAGTTAAAGTGGACCTATCATGCTATATTTGAATACAATAGTGTAGGACCATACCTATATAAGGCATATTTATACTTTTTATTCTTCAAAATACCAAACAGATCATGCATTTTAGCCATTCCTCAATTTAACACTGTCTTTTCATTGGCTGATTCTGTGAGAACAGCACCATCTACAGGCCTGGCATATGTACTACATCGTCTCCAGCGCTTTCGAACGGCAATGTCCGTGGCTGTCTCCTCCTGATTGGTGGAGTTGGCCCAATAGCCGTAGCGCCACTTCTGTGACTGTACAGAAGTGTTCAAATCTGGATCAGTCTGTATCAGATCCGTTGCAGCCCCTTTTTTTAGAGATTTGGGTATGGAGGAAAATAGAGAGGGTTGTGTTTTCTGACACTTGGTGAGTTCCCTGGAACACCGGGGACACATATTCATGTATAAAAGACGTACAAAAGTGCATTTTTCATGATAGGTCACCTTTAATATAGACAATAACAACCGACCTTCGGGGTAGAGCATTTGCTTGGCATTTCTCCACTGGTTGGGCCGTGTTAACAATACCGTGTCACTGTCACGTTTGAAGGGACGAAATCGTGA